AAAAACTACGAAAAATCTTGTCACATTCATGGGGTCTATTTCACAGACTCATTATAAATAAAAAAATACTTTTGGAACAAAAAAAAAACTTTTTTTCTAATAACCTACATCACTTATTAACCAAAATAGACATAAACTCTTGAATAAATTTTAAAACATGCAAAATCACAATGGTATGTCAACACCAACCTCGCGTAGGAACCTGTCCATCATATCTTTCAGCTCCCTCGAAAGGTTAGAAGAGCCTCTTCTTCTTTCCAGAACATGAGGAGTTACTAAAATATACTCAAGTTTTTCTAAAAAGTTGTAACGATTCTGAGGATTATATGCGTTGTAAAGGACATGACTGTTTACTTAGGAAATATTCAATACTAAGCAAAATGTTGTGGTCGCCATCCTTGACTTCTCCGGTTCTCAGAGTAAGCAGCACACTTGTGATCTAAAGCATCTACGCCACCTTTGGAAGAATTGTAATTATCGGGTTTTTTGGTTTTGGTTTAGTGCATTGAAGACACTAGAGTTATACTGACGTCATTTAGCAGCCTTTCTATCTGCTGGGCATTTAAATTCTTACTCATACTGCACCACAAACCTAAAAAAATGTAGATAAAAAATATTATAATCAACATAAAATACTTATGTAACTACACTCGTGGACTTAGGTCCCGCAAAAAAACGTACCTCACAAACTTCCAACGCTAGCACTACGCACGTCTGCACCCCGATAGCTTTCAGGAGTCACTGGGAATACTCGAAACCGATACCGCGTCGCGTTCAAAATATTTGTATAATTTGCAAAAAACAGAGCGCTGGGGGACCTACGTCCCCCACGAGTGGTGTTAAGGGTTAAAACCATTTTTTATATCTCTTAAATGAGACTTCCAACATTTTGATTGTGTCTGGTTCTTTTAATATAAATTTTATTATTCTTAAAAATATGCGAAATGGCTGGCTGGTAAAACATTCAAATTATTCAAAGCATTTTTACACATTTTCTATAGTTTAGTGCAAGAAGGACGACGCCTAACGTTATTTCTAGACCAACTTTCAGTTTTGACCTGTACCTGCAAATAGGTTACAAACACGCCAATGGATAAAACTGGTTCTAAATTTAAATACACGCTATGTTGGCATAATAACAATTTTCATTGACGTCACAGCATAAAAGGAAACGCGTTCGTTTGCAATAGTATTACCCCCGCATAAAGTTTAATAACGATTAACGGTAAGGATAGTTTATTAGAATTAAACTCAATCATGAAAAAATCGAATCTCAGTCAGTCCTAATTTTTTATTTTGCAAAACTTTCCGAACATTACGTACTCTAAGGTTGGAATTGAATGCCTAATAGGTATTTTAATATCGAAATTTAATATCTAGCTTATTTATTATTAAAAATAATATACATAGAGAAGACCAGAATACGGTCAAATTGATGATACGTCGAAAATTAATTTACAAAGTACAACTTCAGGGAATGGCGATCAACAAAGGCGCGAGTTACCTTAAACATATATTAACAGTGACTAGAGAGTAAATTTCATCGGATTTGCTCCTTCTGATGTCGTTTAAATTCCTCACATCACACGTACTTCCCGAGACGCCACTCTCAAAACATTTCACGTTGTTAAGCGTCAACAAATTTGATTTGGAATGTTGTCTTATAACTATGAACTAAAATATTTTTCCAGGAATTTGAATTACAATGTCGAGATGTGCTCAATTTAAATAACCAAGTACTCAACGTAGAAATTCAAATTCCTTAGGTAAATACCTGGTTTAAATAATAGGCTGTGCCCGCAACTTCGTCTGTGGGGAAAAGTTTATCAGGAGAATACTTTCTTTCTTATGGATGGAATCGAATTAAGTCGGATGCGATTTGTGGATTTGTGGATGTTAAAGACTGCTGATGCAGCCGGGACTAACGTTTAACTAGCATTCCGAAGCTCGAAAATATTATCAAGATAATAATATTTTCGTCATCCATCCTATGAACGGCCCTTACGAAAGTTATTTTTCTATTATTTTTTTTTCACTTCTCTGCTCTTGTGTCCGAGTATTTTGATCGTACATTAGATATGCCCGTTTTAGTGATATCTACGCTTTTTCAACTGGTCTTCTTTTGTTTTTTTATTTTATTGTTATTTATTTATCTGTCTAGTTGTATGCACAATCTATTATTTACCTACTTAACTGTATCGTAAACCGAATGCGCTAACCCAATACTCCATCGAACCTCTTATAACTTATACTATAATACGAGTATTATAAAGAGGAAAGACTTTATTGTTTTTTTTTTGCATTTAAGTGGTTCCAAACCCCCTGGACGATTTTTTTAAAATTCTTTTATCTACGGAAAACTACATTATACTCGGTTTTCATAGTTTCTAATTTACGCGGCTTTTTAACAGCTACTTCATTATATAGTGTGACAATTTATTTGCGGTAGGCCTATGGTAAGCAGGCAGGGTGAAGGCAACGCTTTATGTTTGAAGTTAATCGAAACAACTTTCTCGTTCTCTATACTGCAAAGTGCGAGCGCATTTCTCTACCAAAGAAAGTTTCAGACCATTACCATACTGCGTGTGTTATGATTAGCAGTTATACGTGTTAATTAAATTGAATTGAAAAGCTGTCTTCAGAAATTTTCTTAGACAAACGCTTGCTGTGTGAGTTTTATCTTGCATTCAGGATCAGGGAAAATATCTTGTGTTCTCTCAAAATAATTTCCCTGACACTGAATGTTTCAGATTTAATTTGATAGTGCATGAGCCTCGCGATCGGCAGTTAAATACGCTTCATGTCCTTCATGTCTCCTATGACCATGCGCTTTCTGTCCGAAGTCTGAAGGCTCAAGCAAGTATCTTTGTCGTCGGGTCTTAGGGTCGGTGTATGTCTGTCTGACGGAAGATACGTGGTGTCTTATTTGTCGCGGAACGTAAGAGATCAAAAAAAGTAATTATAATTCGACCATACATACTTGACAGAAATCGTGTACTAACATATACTTTCGTCGGGCACTTGACTGCGATCCGTCCGTCAGATTCTCACTGACCCTCAGACTCACGAAATATTGCATGAGTCTCGTAACCTGTGAGTAAACCTGTGTCTAGTGAAGACTGAAAATAGCAACTTTAAAGTAAAGCAATTTATGTGTTACAATAAAAACAAAAGAGTAACATAAGACTGTTAAGAGGAAAAAATCTATATAACTCTAGTTGTCGTCACATTCGAGAACGGTGGAAACCCACTTTAAATTTATTCTGAGTTAAAGTTTCTGTAGCACGTAACTTGACCTGAAATTTCCTCCAGCGAAACTTTTTTCGAGGTATTCTTACTATTACAGTTAGGTACCTTTCTGTCAAAAGTAACTGCTAAGACATGAACCTTTTTTTAACGTCGAGGAAATGCTTCTGGCACTGTATCTGTTACCTGGCAAGAAACAGAGGGTGAGTAAGGCTCTCTTCCGTGAACCCACCTGGCAGTGAACTGCCCAGTGGGTCCCTGGCGGCCTACCCACCAATATGACAACGGTACCGCCCCCGTTGGAGATGAGACCCGAGAAGCCGTGGCCGTGTCACCAGGACACTCAACTATTGGACCATTGATCCCATCGCGGATGACGAGACTCGGATACATTAAGAGTCTCTACTAGACTGGAGAGAACCTGCGATGCAGGGGTCTGACCACCATCTCCACTAGCCTCGAGGACGTGAATCTGATAAAAATTTATTCTCGGAAACTTTAAACGTGCTTTCACTGTAAACTTCTCGATGCTTAATTGCTGTTGCAATCGCTGTCGCAACGCTCTTTCGGTAGATCTCCTACTCGCGTGATAGTATATCATATGTTCATTATATTATGAATCCTATTTATTATGATTGGTCATATATAATTGACGTCAACTTACATTAGAGTATAAAAATTTTGGAAACTTATTTTTTTATTTATGTTTATTATCTTACAAAGTATAATTTTACCATTTTAAAGTATCATTTCACAGGCAAACAGACAAATATTTAAAATTCATTATTTTGTGTTCTATTACGTTTATAAATAAACATAATATTACGTTCATATTTTTTTTCATAAATCTTCAATATACAGGTATATAGATAGTATACCTACTCTATGATCTTATATTGGTAATGGAAACGGCGCTAGCTTTTGATGAGTTTAGTTAGGTAATAATTAAAATGTTTATTCGACAGGTTAACATAAATAATGGCACTCAAAACTTTCATAACATCCGGATATAGGGTATTCAAAAATGTTCGAAATTTTCATTCCTATGGTGGGCGCTTTATTCCCGACGACATCTACAATTGTTAATACTCCGCATTCTACATAGTGTAACTCGATAGCGTAGTGGATAGATCAAGCAACTTTCGTAAGGGTTGATCAGGGCAAGGGTGACCAAAAAAAAAAATTCAAGCTATTCCGTGCTTCCGAAGGCACTTTAAGTTAGTTCCGGTTGTATTTTGCAGTCGTTAATACCCTCCAATCCACATTGACCCAGTGTGGAGGGTCATGGTCCATAATACCCTCCAGTCCGCATTAAACCAGTGTAGAGGGTCATATGATTATGACAAGAAAATTACCTAATCTTTAAAACTATTTTTTTGACCAATATTATTTTTGCAGTCTCCAATTAAAGAAAAGTAATGCTAAAATAATAAAATCGTATTGTTATTATAGTTCTACAAAGTTCTGCACTGGATACCTATTTAGATAATAATATCGTTTTTATGTTCCTGTACACTGACTCATTTATATCCACAATAAGCTTAATACGGGTGTAAACAGTAAGCGAAAATAAATAAGCATTCTCCCTCTTCCTCATACCAGAACTTAAAGAATTTAAATTTTTAAAGCCAAATTTATATTAATATTTTAAACTCACTAAAGACGTTACATTTAAATTTTTTTTAGATATATTTCATGTATATCTATATATGTATATTAAAAAATTGTTTACACCCCTATTATTTCTGTTTCAGGCTATGCAATGACGTGGTGTCGAAGAGGAATCACACATTAAAACCTCGCGTGGTACTACCTGAGAACTATGTAAAAGGTATTTGATATCAACAAATTTTAATACAAACCTATAGTTTCAACCACAGGTATAAACTATTCTCTGTTTCTAAATTGAGGGAGGTACTATAAAACTAGAATTTGATTTAATTAAACTTCTGCGCTCGACAGCAAAGAGTTTGTACAAGAACTACCGTTTTAACTGAACTGACTATGAGAAAATTGTAATTTAAATTAAATTTGTTCATTAGAGCTTTCAAAAAACGTGGTAAATAGGTTTTTCCTGTGAGATACTTTATCTAAGTATCACCACTTGGTTACAATGCGGGCTGACCACTTATAAACCATGATTTTGAAAAACTCCTTTTTGTTTACATTAGTATATGCTACACGAGTTTACATGCTGATAAGTTCGATTAAGTATTTTCCAAGATTTGATCTTTTACTCATCTCTCTAGTAGACTAGGTTACTTAACTGAGGGGTCACGGAACTTTTTCCTATCATCTTAATATATAAATTATAGTTCCTTTAATATTACACAGTTCAGCCAAAATGAGTTGGGTTGCCCACAATACAAAATACCGTTTTGTGGGCAAAGCAACTATACGTTTTACAACTAAATGAGTTACTGTATATCTGAAAGCTTTTGTTACAAAACAACTTTACAGTTGCATGAGTGAATATGGTGGACTTTATAAATCTCGACGTTTAATTTCAAAGGTTGTTTAAAATATGATAATAATATCTATTATTGTGCTTTTTTTCTCTTGATAGAGATAGTCTGTACCTCAGAAAAAAAAAAGAGTTTTACTTTTATGCAGTTTTAATAATATACTTAGATAAACCTAAGTTGCTGAGGATACCTGGACAAAAATATTACTAATTTACACTATAAGTGCAACACGTTTTTATTGTTTACTTTTTTACCCATACTAATGGGGCAGTACGCAGGGCCAGTTCAATAAATATAAGTTCATATTACGAGTTTCTTCTATACTCATTCGCCTTGATGTTTGTATACCTCATAAAATATATAATGAGGTGGTGAATATCAACAAATTCACAGAAATGCGGCCGCCAGCACGCAAAGGTCAACCTGTCATTGTGGAGTTCAGCATATATGTTGTGGATGTCAACTCTATTAACGTGGAGGATATGGATTTTAGGTAAATAATTTATTCGTAACAGCAATACTCATAAATATCTCAATATTCAAATAAATTTAAAATATTTAAATACTTATTTAAATTTAAATATTTAACAATATCACAAACATTGCTCAGATTCCAAGATGAGTAGCTAAAGCCCCTGTATTAAGGAGTATCTGAGACAACGAAGGTACCACAACACCCAGACCCGAGTCAATATAGAAAAGTTCATTTTCTACATTGACCCGACCGGGAATCGAACCCGGGACCTCAGAGACGGCGACATCTTGAAACCCGCGTGCGAACCACTCGGCTACGGAGGTCGTTCCAATAGTTCCAATACAGATTTGAATATTCTGTAAATGGCTAAACGCCGACCCGATATAGATTTTTTTTGTCTGTTTGTCGAAACGTATGACATAGCCACTAACAAGGAACTGAAACAAGAATTATCAACACTTTATGCCTGTAGTCAATTTAAAAAATGATATTTAGGTTCCAAAAACTATTACCAATAAAACTTCTCTGTGGAAAATAAAACAGAGAAATCTTGTTGGAATATAATAATATGGAGAAAAAAAGCGAAGGTCTCCCACCGTAGTTTCGCGAACCGTTTGCGTAGTTTTCAACTTTCACGAGCGCTATGTAACAGTCTAGACTGAATAAACGATTTTAATTGGATTTGATTTATTTTATTTATTTTTTTATTAAATTGATGAAATAAACACTACTACTTCTAAAATAGTAATATGTGAATGTAAACAAATCTTGATAGATTTCAATCAAAATTAATTTGGACGACAGTCTGTATTTTAGAGTATATCCCAAAATACTCTTTCAATTTTTTTCTTATCTATTACTATCAGTGGATATATCCCTACACAAAAGCCTCCATTGATAAGAGTATTCCTTAATCTTATTAACTATCCTGTATTCATATTCTCCATTGCCAAAACTAATTCATATTTAAGTAATCAGTAATCATATTTATCTACCTGAGTGGGTAGATAAATATGATTACAGAATTAGACTTTCACTTTAGTACAAATTAAAAAAAAAAGCTTAACTATTAATCAACTAATAACTTTAGGACTAATAAGAATTAACATTAATGTTGTTCGTACACTATTCCTTGTCAAATTTAGTGTGTGTTAACTAGAAAAACAAAACTAATAAATAACTGGAGATTTTTAAACAAATAAGCAAATTAATGAGTTATTTGATCAAGTGACCGCTGATCAGTTTGGAGTTAAAGATGATATTAATATTTAATTCCTGGAAGCTTCTAATAAATGTTTAATTGACATGTCAACTTTTGGAAAAGGATTATTGGCTTAAAATCATGTATAGTTCAATTATTGAACTGAAATTAATAGAGTTATATCAGGTTTTACTTTCTAACAAACTATTATAGGTATTCTGCATAAATATTTTGTTAGCAATAAATTATTTGAAGTCTATCTCTTTTACACATACTAGGCACTTCTCTATCAGATACCAAATCCGAATTAATTGTTTTCAGAGTGGACATGTTCATCAGACAGACATGGAGGGAAACCAGACTTCAGTTGCCAGACGACATATTCGAGGAAGGCGATGACCACGTTACACTGCCTCCGGAATTCTTCGATAATCTCTGGCATCCAGACCCATACTTCTTAAACTCTAAGGTTACAGGTAAATCTTCACATAAAACTACTCGATGAAAACTGTTTCCATAAGCTTCTTGTTTATTCTGTAAGTGTAGTTGCTGTATCTTGTAACTTTGTTCAAACGGGAAAAAAAAAGTCACTTGTCCCCAAAATAATGACATAAACGTTTTAATGAGAAACCACAAAAATATATAAATAGTTGTTAATTATAATAAATAGTGTTTCTTTAAATACAACAAAAAACTTCCTTAGTAAAAAAATAATATGCAACAAATTAGTACATCAAATAAAGATTGCTTCAAATCAAACAGAAACTTCTTTAAATATATGTACACTGGTACAAATCGACATGATACCTGAAAGTCAATTCTTTTTTACCGGAAACGAAATTTCGTCTATTTTCGAAATGCTAATACGATTCAGAAGAAAATAAAATTTTTCGATAAATAGAATATGCCCTAGGGTGTCAAGATAATTCGTACGGGTTATGTCGTCATTACTTTATGAAACGTTATTACTTTTCAAAAAGTTTCAAAGAATTAGAGTGTTTCAGATTCAAATATTCAACTTATGCTATTCGAAACCATTCATATTCAGATGATGATGTACAAGTAGATATTCTAAGTTGACCACCGATCTTGTTTATCCGTTCGAAATTGAAAAACATGATCCAGGTGATTTTTATACCATTATAGGGGGATGTAAAGAATCCTAACGTAATAATCCAGGGTACACTCTATACAAACCTTTTAATCTAACAGGCAAATTTAAAAATAGAATATTGTCCCCTGTAAGTAAAAGAATTGTAGGTTTATTGTATCACTCTCTACGATAAACTTAACATTAAAATTAGAATTTGCTTTTAGTGTAAAAATTTTCTATTGTCATATGTTTTATTTTATAAATTAACTCCTGTTATCTTAATTGATTACATATTAGACAACGCAGTATGAAATTAAATGTTAGTTTAGTTTGTGCCGATTGCTACTGTTTTTGATCTTTTAGTTTCAAGTTATTTGCTTAAAGGTAAATGTGCTCATGTCTGCATGTCAGGTTACTACAATATGTTAAATTTTCTCAATTCATTTTGAAATCTACTCACAAAGCATTAAGGTTTAAAATCAAATGTATAATTGGCCAGTTTTGTATAACCTGTCACATATTAATTTATACAGTACACTGGTATCATATGAGACTACATATCTAAGGAAAAAATTGACACTAATCAGTTTGGAATAGTAAGCACATGCATAATCGTTTTCATAGTCTAAAAACTAAAAGATAAACTAGCTTTTAGCTTTCTTGATGTTCTTAACGCTTTTCATACATCGCCGCTTTTTTACTATCCATTCACTCTGATCGTGAAAGGCATTTCTTAGTTTCCCTGACTTCCGTAACCTTCCTCTTTAGCGTTGTTCATTTTATCGTTTGGTATTATGTACACATGTTCAAACAAATTCAAATTTTCAGTTCAATTAGATCATGTAAGGCCCACCCAGTTGCGGCCACTGCCATTATTTTGGCTTTTAGGAATTTCAAGGCGCTCTAACTAACGCATAGGCAAATCTATAACTTTACCGTGAACCTGTAAAAGGTTTTTAAAATGTTTCATTATAGCAATATAAATATTGTTAACAGCTGTGAAGTTCATCAGTTCTTAAAATAAATAAGTTCACTTAAATTTTTAAATGACTAAAACTAACTCATAATCAAAACTGGGTCCACTAACTAAAAGCGGTACCGAATTAAGTCTAAGTAACGTTTGCATTTTGACTGCATTTATATTCATTCTGACACACCCAACTGTCAATTCTGTACAACAATGTCGTCAGTATTGCATGGGAATAGCAAGCCATGTCCATGTCGTATATTCCTTCGCTCCGAAACATTCTAAGATCTGTATATAGTGATATTATTAAAGTCTTAAAATTACCCAATCCATTTATATATTTTATTAGTTATGCATGCATTAATTTAATAAATAATTTTAATTCAAAATTCGATAGAAAATCTTAAATAAATTCGCTAATATTTAATGTTATGGTTTTAGGAGGTGGATTGTACTACCGGCATCATTTTTCTGGTAGGAATATAACTGTGTTAAGAATTCAGCACTGCACACGCAAGACCGTGCTTGGATTCACAAACAACAAAAAAATCACCTTACGCAAAATATCGTAAAAATTGTAATCATGGAAAAAATTGACGAATTTTAGAACATACTCATTATCATTTTTATTGCTCTAGGAACCACTTCACTCTATTGCTAAATTTTTGAAGCACATCTATCTGACAATTAGAGCGAATTATAAATAGGCACAAGTCCTAGCTAATATCATGTATGCATGTGTAATTTTAACATTAAATATTGTAAAAGTTCAATTATTTAAAAAAATATCGATGTCTCCGATGATTATTAATGTAGACACAAACTGAATATGTGATTGTATTTCTTATTGCCCACAGAGATCGCAGAACTCACCCATAAATTCTCATCGGTGACCTTGTACAGAAACCAGACTGTAAGATACGCAGCCAGAATGCATGCGATCATCGCTTGCCAGATGGAATTTCAACTATATCCCATGGACATACAGTCCTGTCCTATCTACATTGAAAGCTGTAAGTAATAATCATGTAGGTACATAAAACTACAAACCTAGAAGAGTCTAGAAATTCTAGAAATGTTATTCATACATTAGGAGCTTTAAACTTGCATGTGATCTGCCCAGAAGACTCGAAGCCAGAGTATATCATATGCATATAATATCAGAACAAATATGAAATCAATAATGATCTGCCTTCGTAATTTTGAAAATACATTGGAAAGCCTTTAAGAAAGCGTGAGTAATACGAGTAACAAGAATAACTTAAACTCACTTCAATCTACAAAGTATATTATAAACGGGAAACAACATAAAGAAGTATAGACACCGAGATATACACGAAAGACCGTTTTTGTGCCCTTGAAGAACTTACGATGCAGACTCACAATTTCTACGAAATCCATTAAAATGACAAAATAAAAGTGGTTCCCGATTATTATTATTAATTTCGAGACCTAATCAACAAATGCAGGATTGCAATTAAACATAGTATTCCAGTTGTTACTCAGTATTCATATTTCCAAACACACTAGCTAAGTTAAAGAAGTTGTAGGAGGCGTCACAAATGACATCTACAAAACCCGCCTGAGCAAATTCAACTAACACAGTTTGTTTGCCTTGAATTGACAAAGTTATCTTCTAACCGCTAATGAACTACCCACGTCGTAGCGGCTGATTTAAGCATTTGTTTAAGGTCATACTAACGAAATCAACATTGGATATATCGTTTTCGTCGTCTAACCATTTCTTATTGTTAATATTAGAGTAGGAAACGGTTTGATACTTCAGTATGTAGAAGTACTAAGGATATACATCACTCAGTAGCCAGTGTGGAGGTCAGATGCTGAAACACATTGCGACAGTGTCGCAATAGAAGTTTGTATCGATTTTGTATGAGTTTGTATGCTGAGTCGTCGCGTTTCACAGATATGCGATCTGAGTAGTTTACTACACTTCACGTATATCAAATACTTAACTCTTTTAATTCATGCTACCATTTTACATACTTTATATTGCGTCGCCGCCACCAGATATCCCAGTACCTGATTTCTACATACTGAAGTGTTAACTATTAGAAAATCCTTACATTTTTGGCACGATTTCTTGTACTACTAGAAATTTACCAGAATATTTTTTTTAGTTTTATAGGCAGCGAGATCAGTGAACTATAATATTATGAGTTTTAACTATGATTATCTAAATGTAACAAACAAGAGAATAATTAAAGTTAAATCGCAATAATGCGACATGTTAAGTGATACTCAAACATAGACACATGTCACGCGACAGAAATTACTTTGAGAAACACAATTTATATAATCCCCTTGTTGCTTAGCTAAATTATTATGTCAGAGAGTTGCTTACATGGATCATTGACATGACAATTCACGGCTGAAGAGAAGTGTTCATTAACACTCATTCATACAAGATGTTCCACGATTTCCTATTCAAACTCAACGCATGTTTTTTAATAAAGCAAAGATTAGGTCGGAGAATCACATAAATATCAAAAGAATTTTAAGGTTTTGTTTTTATCGAACTTAATTTTTTGTAATCCTTTTAGAGTTGTGTTCGATAATAATCAACTCTTTCTTCTTTGATAATAAAATACATAATCAGTTTCTTAATATTCGCAACTAGCGATCTATCCCCAAGAAACTTACATAACAATGAAAATCGCACAGAAATCCGTTGCAATATTTTAAAGGGAATTAGAGGCCAATACCACCAAAAACCACTAACTTTTACAAATATTGACCTTTAAATTAGCTGTGATAGTGATTAAAAATGAAAATATATATATTATATTTGTAAGGGTATATCACAGTCAAAACGTAAATTTATAAGTAAAATGATTACTTTTCCACGAATCCAACTTTCTGTCTTAATTATTTAATCTTTGTACTACCGGGAACAATAGGAATGACGACAAATTTTTGTTTATTTCTCAGTCAGGTAGTTTGTCGAAAAATATTATTTTGGTAGTTATTAAATTACCGCGACGCATTGAGTTTAAATATCACATGACGTCACACTTTGGCACATTTTCTACAAAAGTGAGACGTAGTGAGCTCCCACACTTCAACTTTAATGCCTATTATCTAAGCATATCTGGTGTAAATTGAAGTAAAAAAGAAAAACGTATCTAATATTTTTCTATTATCTGACTGACGGACTAAATAGATTTTTTTTATATCCAGTCGTCATCCCAATTTAACCGACTGTTTCCACGTTCATACTATTTAAAATTCTCGTTAAGTGTCACATTTAACTGATGGCAAAAACTGTCGCGTACAATTGTGAAAATTAAATAATTTCAATTCTTTTTTTCAGTTTCCTATAGCAACCAAAAAGTAAGGTTTCGCTGGAGCGAAGCTGGAGTCACCATAAACCCTGAATTGAAACTGCTGCAGTATCACATCGGAGAGCCTTTACGTCTAGAAGAGACTAATGGTTATATGATTGATAAGGACGGTAAGTATTTTTGAAAGCTTAAATGTTATATAAATCAACCCATATGTTATAATTTAATTGACTTGGTTACGTGGGCGAGTTTTTGTATAGGAAAGTTCCATATACGTTTTCGTTCATTCATCCTATTCAGCTCATTGAGGGGCTGAATTTCTAAAAACAAACATTTCGTATTTGTAAGTGAAACATTAATTTTATTTCTATAGCTTTAAAGGTAACAATGGGAATGTATGAATAATATATTTAATCCCCATTTTAAAGCCACAGAATGAGATTTTTATTCAAATCTGTCTTGTGGAATGTATATCAATCATTGTTTGAAATATCAAAGCCTAGACCTCATAACAGCTCCGTTTTCCTCTTCCCATAACGTTTGATAGCAGAAAAAATTTATTACTGATTTACGCCAAAAATATTATCTATCTTGCACCGATATTTCCCAGTCTTAGATAAACTAAGTATTGTTCATTGAAAATACATAGTAACAGAATTTTCGGAATACGTTTTGGATCATTCACATGAATAGTAATAATTTTAGAAAATACGCACGATAAAAACTGTTGCATAAAATAATTTGTATTTGTATGTTTTAAACTTTTATTGTCATTGACATTAGAATTATTATGAAATACGGAATTACTGCTTATATGTATCTTTTTTATCCGTCACTCCGTAATCGTGGCGCTCGCAAGTGCCGATATAGCAGGAAAACGCGAAATATTAGAAATCCCATATTTCACAATCATTCTAAAATAATTAGAATTCTTGAAAATACATTTTTACAAGTCATTAACAAGTTTAAATCTAGAGTTTAACATATCCACAAAACCACTTAGGTAACTCTAATAAACTTCTTATTTTTAATTTCGCATCACATTTCTATTGTAAAGAAAGACCAAACCTCACCTTATTACCCTTGGGTACCATAACATTGTAATGTACTTTGTAACTCCACTCGAAAAACAATTTGTCTAATAATTAATACTTGCTTAGTTATCACGGGAATAGGTACTGAAGATTTGTTATTATTACAAACGACTTTATAATAAGATTTTCTCATCCTACTGTCGTAATAATAAAAAATTTATAATAACAAGATATTAATTTCAGGTGTCCATTGAAGGTTTACGTTTATATTATGTAAATGAATCACGAAGCATAATAGTCATTACAGCGCCATGATTGTTGACATACCCTCGAATGGCAATCTAATTTGATGATAGATATTGAAAGATGGAGGAAGTTAGCGAACCCCTTTTGAATTCTTTAGAAGAGCATTACTCTCATAATAAAAGGAAATAACCTTTAAATTTTGTCATTATTAAATTTGTTCTTGTGTATTTTTCGTGTAAAATAAATATATGAACTTATCACATTTTTTGTGTAATAAATATTTTAGCTACTTTCTTAAATAAACAACATGTACCGTGTAACAAAAATAATATAAGGCATACTTTGTAACGGTGCGTCGTACCTCAGTCGTACCACACCGTTTATTTTTTTTAAAGGTTCCCGCATACAAACTTTTTGTCTTTAACATAAAGATCATTTCTTTTTATTATTCGTTTTTCGTAATTTAAATTGTTTTAAACAAATCATGCTCATTCTGAAAATCATTCAAGCACAAATCAATGTAAATTTACTATCAATATTTTTATAGTATTATGTAAACGTATAATTCTACGTGATGTTCTATGTTTATGTATACTAGGGTTATGTAAGTTACCATATATTTGATTTTCCCACTAAGCTCAAGTGGTTGCCAATTCATCTTTGTCGGAATGCGCATACTTTTTCCCTGCTCTACAGTATTCTGTTCAATCCTTTATCTCCTCCTAACTTATCTTAAGGAACGCTTCAAGTTCCTTCGCGATTTGCACTCTCGCGCTTTGATATAAATCAGAGAACTTAAAATTGAAGATGCCGTTGAACTCCACAAAATTCTATACAAGCCATTCGTAGTTTAGGCTGTTCGCTTTTGGAATACATTGCCGAAAAACATCTTACCTAAATTTTACTACCATTCACTAAACCTGCCGGGACCCAGTTACAACTGGCAATATACAAAGCATACCTCAAGCAATAATAAAACGCTGGTTGTATGATTTAATAACATGAAACATAATTATATGATTACAAGCTTACAATCTAAATCTTGGATGTATTTTTAGCAGGAATTGAAGAACGCTTTCCTAGTAAGCGGTGTAGGTGAAAGGTAGATAGTGTAAATGGCAAGATGTAAAAGAAAGCATGTTACATACGGTCAGTTGCACAGATTTCCATTAGATTTTAATGAGGCCTTTAAGCTCGAATGGATGTCAAATTTCTATGGGTAATGTCCTTTTAAACTAATGTAATTTTAATGGACATTTGTGCAACTGGGTGTTGGTCAAATTAATGAACGAGTACTTGGTTGACAAGATTTTGTTTTGCATATTTAAAGTGTTTTATGTGCGTTGAATTTGATATACTATAAATATTTATATCATAAATTTACAGGTAACTACTCTAGATTAGTAGTATACTTCAGATTCGAACGGCAAATTGGACACCACCTTATCCAGACCTTCGCTCCGTCGTCTCTAGTCGTCATGCTGTCATGGTTCAGCTTCTGGTTAGACCTTGATGCCATCCCGGGGAGAGTCACCTTGTTGGTCACTTGCATGTTGACTTTGGTCACCATGTTCACAGGCCTACGAGCTGATATCCCACCTGTGGCATACGTAAAAGTGAGTATCATTTCGTAAAATCTTACATAAAACATACTCACCACGTTGCATGAGTAAGTTGCATAACTTTTAATAAAGTTCGTGATTTTAAAACGAAGTCGTATAATTCAGTAGAAAAATATATAAACCCGTAGATGTGCTCTTTAGAATGTTTTTGAAAAAGATATTTTGAATATTAAAAAACAACATTCGATCATAGACAAAGTTATCAACGGTCATATCATATCGTCAGTGTGGTTGTTTTTAGATAATTATTATTTTGAAAACTGAAAGTAGGTAGGTACTTCTTTGATCCTCAATCTAGTATTCTTGTCTGCTTGTTTATAATAAAATGCAAATATAAACACTTTAATAATAAATCGGTAACTGCATCTGGTTTTATTTCAGGCCTTAGATTTATGGATGGCTGGCTGCATGATGTTCGTATTTGCAGCTTTAGGAGAGTTTGTGGTCGTTAAAGTGTTGGATAAGCAATATCAGATGAACAAAAACAAAGCACAAGATTTGCCAAGAATAATTCCTGTGGTAAGAATTATTACTTTAATTTTTAGGCAAATTGGTGCTCGACAGTCCTCGATGTAACTTTCGCAAGGGCCAGTCTTCGGAAGGCACTTTAAGCCATTGGTCCCGACATTGCATCTGTATTGTTAATAACTCTATATCCCAATCCGCACTGTTCGAGTTGATTCAATTCCATCTCTTAAGAAGGCTTAAGCTCCAGAAGTGGGACAATTAATAGGCTGGTGATGGTGTGAAGCAAACCATAGCTGACCGGTTCTCTCTTTGTAAATTAAGGTGCTTATTCAATTTCAGTTTAAAGTAAAATATTTAACTTGTTACTTTAACTTATAATTTTTTTGATGAATTTGGGTTTTATGTATTCGATATAAAAATATATTTTATTCCAATTACGTTCAGAGATTGAACGGTGAGAAAGGTTCGTGCGGCACAGTGGCAGCATGGGAGGGTAGTGGCGTGAGATGTCGCAAGGTGGATCTGACGTCACCTACTTCCCCCGCAGCCGCCGCCGCCGCGCCCGCCGTGCACCCCGCACCCTCCGCACCACACAGCGTACCGCACCTAGTCGGTGTGGAACGACGACAGAGCATATTACAAGTATATAACATTTATCATCATCAACCTACTAATATCCGAAGTATTGGTGTACAGGTCCACCCAATGAATTAGTGGAATGTAATGAAATGAATTGAAAATGTCTTGATTCAAGTAAGCTTATTTTCAATTAAGCACTTTTGAATCGTCAAAAAAACATTTTTTTTTACCCTACCCCTCGTTTAGGACATCTTTTTGCTGACAAAAAGAACAAGCAATAGAAACTTATCAGCTCTTTATCATAAGTAATGCCATTTACATAAATCATGTCATTACCAAAATAGTACGTATTATAACAATTAAAAATACAAATTTTAAAGTCTGTAGGACCTAGGTTGGTACATATAATTAGTCGATATAGAACAAAGCAAAGGCTATTAATTCCATGCATTGCAGTCCTTAAAACTAATCATCAACTTTATATTAGCCTTTACTCATAAGTATGTTATTTACGTGAATTTTAAATTTATTGATGGGTAGATCAATTTCATTTTGTGGAACTTTATAAAACATAGTAATGCATTTACCCAGAAATGATCCACTGGTTTTTAGAAGTCTGAAGCTTCGAATACCGAGTTTGTTTTTATTTCTTGTGTTAAGATTATGAACACTATGTTTTTTTTGTGGAAGAATCGTAATGTTTTTTTATGTAGGTACATAATTTTTTCATAGATGTTTTGAGAAGCAACTCTAAGAGATTCCCTAGACCGTAAACTATATATAGCGCGGACAGCTCTCTTTTGTAGAATAAAAATATCTTCAATGCTAGCCCCAGAACCCCACAACATAGGACCATACGTCATTACACTATAAAAATAATTAAAATATACCAATCTTGCGGTTTGAACATTTGTCAAGAGTCTAATTTTCTTAACAGCAATCTGCAGAACACGGTCTACTTGACAAGTTATCAATATGAGGATCCCATTGAAGTCGGGAATCTAGTGTAATACCAAGGAACTTTGTCGATTCTACCAACCCAACTTTTTTACTATTTAGTAATGCAAACTTTAAGCATTTCGATTTGAATTGAGCTTTAAATTATTATTATCAAACCACTGTAGAACATTGTCGAGAATCAGAATAAAACCTGAATGGACTTCACCTACCAAGATTTTGGACACATCTAGTAACAATATACGAGAGCACTTATAACGAACACGATAGAACTGGTAATTCTGCTTGAGATCATGGAGATTCAGCTACTTTTGCAAATAACGATTTGCAAAAATCATTGGATGGTTACCTAACTAAATCAACATTGGTGGCTACTCAATGTTCCAGAAATCGCGTTAAACCTTAAGTCCGAGCTGCATCTGTAGTTGTTAACAGTCATCAGTTCGTAGGTACTTATGCCCTTCCAAGGAAAGCCATTATTATATTTGATCGATTTTGCATTCATAATGTTATATTGATAAAAAAAATCTTCAATGAAAAATGCTTAAAAATTTCAGCAATACAAGATACATCGAGATGGGAAAGATTTAAATGAACAGCACGTTGGGTTGATAATAATGATATAAAGTAAACGCAACGTTTCAGTATCGTAGCATTGTGTGATAAATAAATGTTGATGCCTTCTTATTTTTCAGGTGGCTTGGTTAGACGCCGACACAGGTCAAGAGCGTGTGCTGTGGAGAGAGATAGACAAACTGTCGCGTGTGGTGTTCCCCGCGTTATTTCTATTATTTGTCACTATGTATTGGCCTGTACTACTTCTTAAGACGAAAACCTCTTCATAACGCTTACAACCGATCACAAATGTTTGCCACCACCAGAAAAGAACACAGCAGAAACATATTATATATGATATTGTTATCTTAGAAGAAATATATTTAGATATTTCAAATATCTACGTAAAACAGGCTCAAGATAAGCAATTATTCCCTACCTTGAATATTATGAAAATGAGCATAAACAGATTTATAAATTTATTCATTAATGTAATGACTCTTGAAATAATACAATGTTTTGTTGTAAGAGTGGGTGGTGGCACGTAGATATATCATTTTGTAGGTGTAAAGTTGAAAGCTTAAATAATTTTATTTCTTATAATGTTCACCAAATACTAGAACTAAGAGAAAATCTATTTCGTTTGAATACAATGAAAGCTAAAAAATATCATAAAAGAGATAAAATAAAAATTAACAATAATAGTTTAGATTTCCGAGTAGCAAAATGATTTGTTTTAGGTAAATTCATTTAGTTTTTGTTTGTTGATGCTCTTGAAATTCTACCAATGGATATGTAATTGATATGACTTTAGAAAAGTCTATTTTTTTAGATTAATTAAATCAATCGTTATTCGCAGTTGCGAGTTGGTCTTCAATCGGTAACATGGAGCAATTTGGCGTTTTGCTATTATGTTCTATACATATAATAAACAGCCTCGAACTCCAGCATAAAGGTTCAATAATATTACTTCATTAAAATATATAATTTATTAAAATAACACACTTATTTCTAACGGCCGTGCTAAGCAGTCTTGTATTGCAGTGATGTGGTTTTTAATAATTGTGTCCGTTCAAATACAATAGGACAAACATTTTTTTTTCCTTTTGTAACAAAAAGTTAATAATAATACAAATATAAAAATGGTAACGACAGCTAGTTTCGAAATATGGTTTTTAAATGCGTAAGTGTTTATTACCTTAATTTACTTTTGAAGTATGCCTAACGTCGAGTTCGAGACTGATCTTAATACAGAATACAGTTAACGATTGTCGTTTGTATATTGTAAACCTAATTGGATAGATTGTAAATTGTGAACTATTCCTTCCAGCACTAACAATTTAAACGAAAATTAGAGTTAGACAAGAACAAGTGGCTTAACAACCCTGTATAAAGTAAGTTATGTAGAAAACGTAACAGACACGATTAGTTCTTTTTAAATTATTCATATAATATTACTTAGTGAACCCATGATTTTTTAAGGTTTCAGTCTACATTTTAAACAAAGTTTCCGATGCTAAATTTTAAAAATATAATGTTCCTATTGATCAGTTGTCAGTATAACTGCAACTGAAACTTATTTAGATTATTTTTAAGCAATCCGGCTTACAAAAATAGGGTCTCACTCACATATCCTCATCTTACTCGTGTTATGAAAAATGTATCCTGGTGGCAATTCTGTTTGTACAAACTAAAGCTTTTTAGTTTAGTTTAGATAGTAGTACACTAAAATTGACACCCCTAATTATGAAATATAATGTTTTTGATGCAAGTTTTTTTTTAAATCCTTCCTTTTTTTCTTAAGGAAGGGGCAAAAGAATATAAATAAACCTTGCGAATAATAACAAACGAAATATTCAATTCTACCTTTTACAACTTTTAATATACCTTTAGAGTACCTCTGCCACTAATTTGAATTAATTCTAAAGAGCGTATTAATTTACGTAACTTTAATCGTTTCTGATCCTCCGCACGGTCCCCCGGTTACAAGTTCAAAAGCAGCTTTAATTAAATAACGAATGAAACTACATAGTTAAATTTGTTAGTGACCCACATATTGTCGTGTGAAACTTTTAACTCGTTTACATGGGAAAGCGATAGTATTGGTTGTGTTTGATCTAAAATTTGCATGGGATCAGTCCATGTTACTATTTTCCACTGACAAGCATTCATAAGAATATAATACATATCTTATTTAACTATAAACATTGAAACAGTAAAATACTAATTTCGGCTAAAAAAAAAGGATGTATTGAAAGATATTTTATTGATTTTGTAAGACGGCTGTGTTACAAAACTAATTGAAATTTGTAAAAAAGAGCCGCCTCATATAGTCCTCGTTTTTTGAAACGCGAGTGATAGAAGGTCAACTTACGCGTTCCCCTTGCAATGAGGATGGTGGCTGGGTAAAAAAAAACTATTTAGCCCATTATAGACCGCAGATAATATCATATGTCAGTTTAACAACAAATGGTTTTCATAATAGTTATTTAAGTTGAGGAATGGGGGCTCGCTTCGTCAAAACTATGTAGAAAACGTACAGAGGTGTGACATCATATGACATTTCAACTCAATTTATCGCCGTAATTGATATTTTGCAATAGTCTATCCGACGGATAGACTAACAAAAGTTATCATCATCTCTATTCTGAGATCGACTGATCAGTAGTCCTATTCTGTAATAAAAACAGCCTCAAACTAAACGAACCTGTTTGCTGTGACAACACTGTCAAATCATATAGGTGACAAAACTGTCACAGCATACAGGTTCAATCAAATAAAGTCTAGTTCAACAGGTAATAAGTTTTGACTGAATCTCTCTGCTATGACTGCGCTTTGCTCGACGTCGAGTTCGATGCTATTTTAATTACAGAAGAGCATAGCTGTAGGAACGTGTGTTAATATATTCGAAGGTATATTTTTGTCACCCTGAATAAAAAAACATTTTTGCTGCTCTATTACTCTTTCAAAAAAGTCTTGATTTCTAGACTATCTTGATAATACATAAAATTGTTTTTTAAAATAAAAGTAATGCACGATATTTGTTGTGCCTAAAAATTTCATCCGCACAATATAAACGTATTAATAAATTGTGAAAAAGTGTATATTATATACGATATATATCTAATATGAGCCATGAATGAATGTCAACTTCTAGAATAGTTGTATATATATAATACCTTAAAATATAAGCAACTGTCTGAATTATTTTAAACATTTAAAATCTGTTATTATATTAGTATTATATTCTTAAGGGTCAACTTATAATTTTCAAGTCACTCAAATCTATAATTTTGTAAGCAATAGGGATGATGACTAATTTTTGTTTGTTTGTCCGTCAGGTAGAGTGTTAAAAAATATTAAACACGTATTTTTTAATTTTTTTCGTAATCATAAAATTACGGTGTTACATTGAGTTGAAATTTCACATGACGTCACGTTAGAGTACGTTTTCTACTCAACTGTGACGTAGCGAGCCCCCACTCCTCAACTTTAATGCCTGTTATCTAAGCTATTTCTTGTTAAATTGAAGTAAAAAAAATACGTATCTAATATTTTTCTATTATCTAACTGACGGACTAAATAGAATTGCATTTTTTTTACCCAGTCATCATCCCTATTTGTTTCTATAATAATCTTAAAAACTACAAATACACCAAATTAGTTAAAATTTGTTTAGTAAATTGGACACTTCAACTGAGGTGTGAATTCAACTGCTTACTCATTCGGTCCATTCTTAATACAGCCTTATTATAAGTTTTGTCTTAAGTTTAACAACCAGTTTCTGAATTGAGAAAAGTACGAAATCTCAACTGATTATTCTTAATAACTTAAGTTTTTTTTTTACATTTCACAAGATAATAAAGTCCTAGTTATACAAAAATATTCTTAACTAATCATTAAAAAACTTAAATTTTACAGTTTGAGTAGTGCTTAATTTTAAATATTCAATTCAGAATCCGGATATATGAAGGGGTCATCTATTTAACGTTAGACGATTACTACCAGTTTCAGACACCAATTTTTTGTGATTTCAAGCAGTATCAGACGTTCAAGACCATTTCGGAAACATTTTTGGCCAGGTATGCGGAACTTACTATTTTATATGTATATGCAACTAACGATCTGGCTCATGAAATCATTATAGCGCGGGTATATAACATAACGCCTACACATCAACAATAGCAAACGAATCTTTAAGATTAGCTTAAATTATTCCACCATCAAAAGTTAAAAATAGGTACATATGTATTACTTATAAAAGTTGTTTAACTGTTGTATTTATGTTTCGCGCACTCCTTTTTTATTTATCATAACGAAAAATTGTTAAAAAACTCACCAGCCTCGGAATAAATGGCATAGTGAAACCAAATCAATGAAATATAAATATATATTCTCATCAAAATCGAAAGTTATATATTTCTTTAGGCTGTTTAGATTGATTGCCTGAACGTTGATGAAAATTTGCTCACTAGTAGCGAAAGTAACAATTGCTTAAGAAATTCCAAAGTCCACTTAGGTATCGGATAGCTCAATTGGTTAGAGCGGTCAACTGGATTGCGTGAAGTGGTGGACTGGTGAGTTTTTAAAACAATAATGATGAATATAAATATAGCATTATAAATGTGAATTGAAATAATTCATTTTTATCAATTAAAACACTAGTGATACTTTTCAAAACTGAGTTTACCTTAAGTGGGGGTGCTTTCACTGTCACCGTCGCCTTTATATCAGCTTTAAGCATTGTGATATTTATATAAAATTAAAGTGTATTATTTATAAGGTACAAAAATGTATTTATATTTTAGTTTCATTTTTATCATTCGTCCAAATAGCCAGTAATAAAAAGGTCCTCATTTTAAAGTACTATGGGATGTGTAAAATAAATGATTCCATTGAGTTAATTGCTACAGAACAATTTAATAGATTATCTATATTTTGATCAGAAATTGCGCAGTTTAAACACAGACACCGCTCAGAGTAACAAATGGATAATTTTTAATTTCTATGTTATGTATTATAAAACATATTTAACACGGTTTGATAAATCCCTCATTTAATTAAACTTAACTAGTACCTTGTTTCGATAATCGTCATTATACGTTACATGAAAATGTAAACATGAGCAATTTAGGTACTATCTATCCCGATAGATTATAAATTATAATAATTGTGATTTTTTCTCTGACAAGTTATAGTATGATAAACAATTTCATCACGTCAAAAACGTAAGGAGGTGGTGGGTCCGTATTTCAAATAAAATTCATAAGAATATGTATCCTCACAGTCGACTGTGTCTGTATCCTCGAGGATATGATATGCCAGACTTCCTTGCACATTCAACGGATATAATCTGTCGTATACTAAACATGCATCTAACTAATGCATACTTCCGTGAAACGCTAGACAGATTTCACATTAGATTGCATCGACCCGACTGCGATATGTATTTTATGATTTCTATTATTATATACCTTATTTTCATACATAAATAGCCCTGTTCACGTCATTTCAATGTGACTTTTCACTTGGAGTGAGAAAGAACACTATATAAAATATACGAGGTCCTATATAATAAACAGTTTACTACCTTCATTACATACTTTGATGCCGAACAAGAATGATATAACAAATCACGCACATATTTAGACTCTATTAGTTTTTATAAATGATGACCTTTTTATTAGTTGCATAGAGTATCTTTTAGAAAATAAGTAAAGTCATCTCGATTAACTCGATTGCGATATAAATTATTCATGACAGTTTATAAAGAAGGGTTTATTTAATGACGAAATTAATTGTTAATAGAATGCTCGAAAAATGTAGAAAAAAAGTTATTAAGTACAAAATATAATTTTTCCAAAATATAATTGTGTTTCTTTTCACATATACCTAATATATTTTGACGTTACCTAGCGTTTTCACATTAAAAATCCGTATCAGCAGCAGAAAATCTATATTCTTATTTTAATGATAAATTCAGGCTTATTGAACCAAATCCACGTCAATAGTTAATTAACTAAAACAATATTAAAACAAATACTATAAATAACTAACTATAGTTGAATACATAAAATTAAATAATCCATGTTAACGTAGCTAAGTAAGTACATATATTAACATGGATTTGGTAGTGAAAAAGTCTATCGGCCTGTTGCACAAACGTCTGTTAAGGTTTAATGATGCTTTTAAGTACCAATGAATGTCAAATTTGTATTGGTAATGTCGCTTTAAACTAATGAAAATTTAAATGGAAGTTTGTGCGACTGGCCGTCACCACCAGCCCTTTTACGTCCCCACTGCAGGGGCTCAGGCCTTCCTTATGGATGGTTAAGGAGGATGGGCCATGACCCTCCACGCTGGCCCAATGCGGATTGGAGGGTATTGACGACTGCAAATGCAGCCGGGACCAACGGCTTAACGTGCCTTCCGAAGCACGGAGTAGCTCGAGATAATAATTTTTTGGTCACCCATCCCGTGACCGACCCTTGCGAAAGTTGCTTAACGACTACGATCGCGGGCCGCGGCGCTTATCCACTACGCCACGCAGTAAGTTGTTAAAACTGTTGAGTGTTGATGGAGTCTTGACTCCAATCTTCTTGTTGTTTGGTAATACTTTTAGTAAAAATGTGGAACTCTTCAAAGTAAAATAAAGCAGTAAAATCTTTGAAACTTATTTCAATAAGACTGAACTATACCACAATAAAAATTATGAACTTTCTGCTTCAATTGTGTAACAGAATAAATAAAAATTGGTCAGCCCGGAACAAAACAAAAGTTATGAGACCTCAAAATAAGAAGTGGTTTTGAGGTTTACTATATAATATGTAGCTGAATTATAATTTCGTGGAACTATATTAATACCAAGAAATATTTCTACGACCCAGAAATTTGTCGTATTCTAAAGTCTGAAACTTGAGGAACGACAAGTTATATTTAGTTCTTGAATTTAAAATGAAATATTAACTTTCCTCTGCGAATGCATCATTCCAAGAGTTCAAAAATTCTTATTGAAATATGTATATAACAATTATTATATTTGACTAATTTAGCATTGACAATGCTTTACTGAAAAACATTAGAGAAAAAGTAACAAGTGCTAGAAGAATTCGTTAGTCCGGTTAGTCCAATCCCAGAGTGCCAGGGACAAAGTGGATTTTTAAGCATTTTTTATTAATAATGTACTAACAAATTGTACAACTTAGAATTGGATTTATTTAAAAAAATAATAATAT